TATTTATATTTTATATTTATATTTATATTTTATACGTATTTAAACATTTTTCTCTAATTTCCTTCTAACAGAAGATTTCCCTCAAAATTTATGGGTTTATGTGGCATTTCTCAATGCACAAAGGCTAAAATGTTTAAATTGTCAAGTCTGTCAAAGTTTTGTTTTTTATTTCTGACACTGGTGTCATCATATTCATTTTTTAGAAGATGACAAAGTTTAAGTATCTTCAAGGAGTATGTATTAGTCCATTTTCATACTGCTAAAAAGATACTACCTGAGACTAGGTAATTTGTAAAGGAAAGAGGCTCAATGGACTCACAGTTCCATATGGCCAGGGAAGCGTCAGGAAACTTACGCTCATGGCAGAAGGTGAAGAGAAAGCAAGAACCTTCTTCACACGGTGGCAAAAGAGAGAAGTGCAAGCAGGGGAAGTGTTAGATGCTTATAAAACCAAAAGATCTCTTGAGAACTCACTCACTATCATGAGAACAGCATGGAGGAAACTGCCCCATGATCCAATCACCTCCCTCCATAAACACATGGGGATTACAATTTGAAATGAGATTTGGATAGGGACACAGAGCCAAACTGCCAAATCGTATCAGAGTAGTTAGTTGTCATTCAGGTAAAATCTCAATCCCTCAGTCTCTGTTGCATACCACATTCTATTCTCACCAAATTCAGCCAAATTATTATCCCACAACTTCTAAATGCAAACTGTGTTTTGGTGAGCTTAGTTTCTTACATGTTTTGATGCCTGGGCTCTGGAGTATTGTAAAGAAAAAGTTCAGGATTCTGATTCAACCACTTATCAACAGTATGAGAAGAGCTTTTTGGGCTTCAGCTTCACATTTAAGTAGGCTTAAGACTAATGTGTGATTGATTAACTTACGTGTAACAAACAACACAGCTTAACATACAGTTGGCACTTAATGAATATCAGTTCTCCAGCCATCTCTCCATGTTTTTGCTTATCCTGGGACATCTTTCTGTGACATCATTCTCCTCTTCTCCACCTTGTGATACTTTACCTACCCATCTGGGCCAGTTTTATCCAGACTCCTTCACAAAGGTTTCCATAGAACAGAGAGCTTACTATGCATCTTACACAGTGTGGGTGTCCTACATTACTATTTTAGTGTTTCAGTCATGTTTCCATGAGCCAAACTGTAAGGTTCAGGAATGTCTGTCCTAATAATGCTTGGCACTTGAATGCACCCAATAAATATTTGTTCAATGTATAAACAAAAGGTGCATGGGATGGGATATATTGGAAAACTGGACATATATTGTAATAAGACAAGCTAACAATTTGTGTTTAAAAATTAGCCTAATTATTGTGCTTGGGACACAAAATTTGTGACCAATGTGAATTCATTTAGTAAATGTAGCCATATATATCTTGCATTATACCATTGAATATTCTAATAGTTCTATATACCATTGGAATATACCAGCGGAAAATATCATTACAAATAGTTCGACATACCATATTTCTTCAATTTTAAGAACAATTTGGTACCACATGCTAATTTCTCTGAAAATGGGATGTATCTTACTATCAAATAAACAGCCAGTGGTCAGGTGACAGTGATGGTACAGTTGGCATTGCCTATATTTGAACATGGGCATAAACAAATGGTCATCATTTCTACTAAATTCTATGAAATTTAGTCCTACTGTGTCAAGCCACATGCCAAGAAACACAGTTGAAGGCAGGAGAAATTACCAGATATGACAGATTAGGTGAAAGAAATTTCAAAGCAAAGAGAGGTTGATATAACCAATTCATGTTTCATGCAGGACTATGGTTGAGGCATGAAACTACAATTTGTGAGAAACTTTCTCCTGGACATTAATAGAGAAGCTGCATAGCTTGTATTGATATACAATTCAGTTGAACAAGAAAACTATGTGTTTAGTCAAATGGGATAGTGCCAGTATCACATTTGCAGAATGAGTGTCATTGTCTAGGAAGCAAATCCCAGAAACAAGACTGGAACATCCTTTTAAGAAATGGTGCACTATCAACGGCACTGTGTGGAAAAACTCACATAGGAATGCTTTTCATGAAAAGGTATTCAGAAGAATCAGGCTCAATGTTCGGGACTTCAGTAAATTTATTTTGCTTATATTTTCTTTCCCACACATACACAGTACTAAACAAATCTATGTATAAGTGTCTAAAAGTACTCAGTAAGTATAAAGTAAGAATTCGATATGACATAACATTTTGTCTTAGTTTAATTAGCAGCTCTTTTCCTTTCTTGGTGGAACATATAATTGAAGATATCTTAGATTTGAATAGATACCAATACATTGAATAGGCACTAGGCCTGTGAGTTTATAAACTTCCCTCAGTGAAGGACCAGAGCTTGGTGTTTTGTTGTTGTTTTGGTAGGTATTTTGTTGTTTGTTGGAAATGAGGTAAGAAGATCGTATGAAGTCTTCACAAATATCAGTTACACTTGTTTGTAGAGGCAACATAATTTCAAGAAAAGCCACCTTCTCACATCACTTTTTACAGCTTTTTAATATAGGTCACAGGTTGCGTTTTGAATTAGGTGAATACTCCATTTCTCATTAGGTAACCACTTTTGAAATTAATTTATTATATTTTTCCAACATAACAGCAGTACATGTTGGTATAGAAAACACCTTATATTAAAAAAAAAAAAAAGTCTATGTATCTACGCCTGAGTATGTAATCAGCCATATGTCTTCCGCCCAATTTGGAAAATTTCTTTTTAAAAAATTTTCTTAGGCCAGGAGCGGTGGCTCACACCTGTAATTCCCAGAACTTTGGGAGGCCAAGGTGGGCGGATCACCTGAGGTCGGGAGTTCCAGCCCAGCCTGACCAACATGGAGAACCCCTTCACTACCAAAAATACAAAATTAGCCGGACGTGGTGGCACATGCCTGTAATCCCAGCTACTCGGGAGGCTGAGGCAGGAGAATCGCTTGAACCTGGGAGGTCTGGAGGTTGTGGTGCGCCAAGCTCACGTCATTGCACTCCAGCCTGGGCAACAAGAGCTAAACTCCGTCTCAAAAAAAAAAAAAAGTTTCTTATACATTTTTCGATGCCATTTATTCTTTTGTTTGTTTATGAAAATGTCTCAGATCAAAGTAATATATCTTCATTGCACAGTATATTTTGTAAGTACAGAAAAATATAAAGAAGCATGAAACATATTATCCTTCATCTCACCACCCAGAGATCACATCTTAATATTTTTGGCCATTGCATTCAATTTAGGGCAAAAACAGGCAGCATAACTTGCACACAATGGATGCTCACTGCATCCCTGCTGAATGCATGAATGCTGAAAGAGAACTTGGAGAAGGGCCCATATGTCTTGCTAATAGAATCAATTACACAGCTCTTATGGTCTAAAATTATTTGTCTTCTCAAGTTTGCCTGATTATTGTCACACAGCAGGAGACTGGCCAAGACACAGCCATCTTTCTACTATTTGGCAACCAAGCACTTTGGAAGAAATGGTCACTGTTTTCACTTCATTCCTGTCATTCATTCACTCATTCATTAAATAAATATTAAGTGCCTACCATGTGCCTGAAATACGGAGAAAAAAAAAACCCAAAAACATGACCCCTGCCCTCATGGAAATTACCTTGTAAAGACAAAGCAGACAATAAACATAAACACATAAATACATATATATAATATACAAAATTTGACAAGTGCAGAAATAGAAGAGAACAAGTGACTGGGGAAATAAACGGGGCAATGGTGTAATTAAGGAGCGGACACTGCCTTTCTCATGCAGTGTCAAGTCAGGTCAAGAAGGAACGAAAGGGAAGGTTCTGAGGCTATCAAACTTTGAGTGTGGCCAAAAAAATAACGAAGGAGAAAGTGATGATGGAAAGACTAGGCTGAAGAGTTACGGCAGTAGTGCAGTGTCTTCTTGTAAGCCATGGTAAGGATTTTGAGTTTTACTCTATGTACTGTTAGAAACCAATACTATTTTTGTAGTGTAAATTGAGCTTATTTTTCATAGATAGATTTCAAGATTCAAAGCATACAAGGACCAAAAATAATTATATGAAAACTCTCCCTCCCTCCGGTTTCCTAGTCACCCAGTTTCCCACTTCAGAGCTGCCAGTCTTTCCTACGGAAAGACTCTAGGCACAAACAAGCACATCTATCTTATATCTCTATTATAATGCATTTTCAGCAGTGAAACAAGCCCATCTGATTAAGACCACCTGAATGCTGAGTGGGCATGACTCTGCGTTAGAATGCTGCGCTACTACCCACGCGTCTCACAAAGTCTACTCCGCCGCGCGTTCTGTTTCAACACACCTCCGGGATTCAGGGCTTCCTAAGCTGCAATTCAGCAGGACTCCCTTGCTTGTTCTCACGCTATGCCCCTGGCAACAACCCCGCGCGCCTACACTCCAGTGCCGCCGCAGCTACTAGTCCGCCACTTCCAGCCCAAACGCTGGAGCTCAGAACCCACCTCAGGTGCGCTCCTCTGTTTCCCAGGCCGACTGGGGCTGATTGCAGGCGCGCGGGGGCGGGAAGACAGCTTCTTGCTTCTGGCTGCAACGGAGGCGGATCTGGGCGGGGCCGAAACGGGGGCGGGGCCAAGTGTGTGGGCGTAGTCAGGCGTGGGGGCGGGGCCGGTGCCGCGGTCGGCGGCAGCGTTCTCTTAAGCTCTCGCGGCGGCGCTTCGGTCCCGGACCCGGGCCACCCACGGGGCAGTGGGTGCTCCTTGGCCCCGGACATTACAAGTCCCAGAAGGTAAATTTGCCTGGGAGCCGCGCATCTGGAGCACGAGGGTACCCACGATGAGGGCGGGCGGCTGGATGGCGACAGAAGGGAGCGTCCCGCGGCGAGTTTCCCAAGAAAGCTGAACTCGTCCCAAGTTTCTTGTGCCTCGGCTTGCACTCAGTGAATTGGTGGCGGGCTCGTTTGGTGCGGGTGGTCTTTTGGCGTGGGAGGGACGCGGAGTTGATTGGATTAATCCATTTGGGCGGCACCCCAGATTTCTGCCTGGGACCGCGCACCGCAGTGGTGCAGTTTTTGCCCGAGAAAGGGCGGGTAAGTGCGGTGCAGTCGTGTCCTGCGCAGCAGCAGGAGGACCGCCGGACTCGGAGCACGCGAGTCGGCCAGGCGTCCCCGCCTATCCGCAGGCACAGTTTCCTAACTTCTTTCCTCTTTAGGCAAGACTGACCCGGTGTTGCTCCTACCAGGGCTGACTTCGAGGCCCGGCTATGGACGGCGAGAGCGAAGTGGATTTTTCTAGCAACAGCATAACCCCTTTGTGGCGGAGGCGGTCGATTCCTCAGCCCCAGCTGCTGGGCCGGAGCAAGCCGAGGCCCCAGTCCTACCAGAGCCCCAACGGGTTGCTAATTACGGATTTTCCGGTGGAGGACCGAGGGACGCTCCCTGCAGCGCACACTCTCGCCCAGGTGTCCACCGACTCGGACAGCAGGACGGTACATAGGAGCCCCCTGCTTCTGGGAGCCCAGCGGAGAGCGGTGGCCAATGGTGGGACGGCATCCCCGGAGTACAGGGCTGCCTCTCCTCGACTTCGACGGCCCAAGTCACCCAAGCTCCCCAAAGCGGTGCCGGGAGGCTCCCCGAAATCCCCAGCAAATGGCCCGGTGACCTTGCCTGCGCCGCCACCGCCGGTTCTGCGCTCTCCGCGGACTCCTAACGCGCCCGCCCCCTGCACCCCCGAAGAGGACCCGACTGGGTTGAATGCCAGCCCGGTGCCTTCGCCCACTGCAAATGGCCTTGCCGCTAATAACGATTCTCCTGGGTCGGGTTCACAGTCCAGCCAGAAGGCTAAGGAGCCCGAACGGGGGCTCTCTCCTGCGCCCCAGAAAAGTTCTTCAGAACAAAAACTTCCCCTCCAAAGGCTCCCCTCCCAGGAGAACGAGCTCCTCGAGAATCCTTCCGTGGTTTTGAGTACAAACAGCCCCGCAGCCCTCAAAGTGGGGAAGCAGCAGATCATTCCGAAGAGTCTGGCCTCGGAAATTAAAATAAGTAAATCCAACAATCAGAATGTGGAGCCCCACAAGAGACTCCTCAAGGTGCGCAGCATGGTGGAGGGCCTAGGAGGACCTCTGGGTCACGCAGGGGAGGAGAGTGAGTTCGATAATGACGTGGATAGCCCAGGGTCTCTGCGGAGAGGCTTGCGGTCCACGTCTTATCGCAGGGCAGTGGTCAGTGGCTTTGATTTTGACAGTCCTACCAGTTCGAAGAAGAAGAACAGAATGTCCCAGCCTGTTCTGAAAGCAGTGATGGAAGACAAGGAGAAGTTTTCCAGTCTGGGAAGGATAAAGGTAAAAGTGGGCAGGAGTGTGACACGCCATTCACTAAGCCAAAAGTAAATGTGTTGGGGGTGGGGAGGAGGAGCATAGAGAAAACCCGAAGAAGTCATTCCCTTTTAATTCTGTGTTTTGCTGTTGATTACTAGTGTACATCCAGCTCTTGGCCACTTTGATGCTGGCCGGCACAGCCGAGTTTAGTGCAGCTTTGTTGGAAGAAGTGAAATTCATCACCTTTAAATTTCTAAGCTCAGGCAGAATTGGGGGGACAAGAGTGAAATATGGCAGATTATTGGCTGAGTGAGTCTTGACCACTTTTAAAAGAGATAGCTGAAAGGGGGAGGAGCATGCTCAGACCCGCACTCTGCAGTCAAGGTGTCTGGAGTTTGCTCAGAGGTTTCAGTCAATGGTAGCTGTTATCACAGCTGATTCAGAAAACTGCTGATTCCTGTTTGAGCCTGTTGATTATTTTTTTGCTTTTACTTACTGAATTGTTTTTTTGAGTGGTTACTACACACTTGATGTCATTCAGGTAGAATGTGAATTTGAAAATCAACTGCCAGGATCACAAAAGACACAAATCTTTTGTCATCTTTTTTGTTGCTTGTTTTTGTCACCATGGCCTATGGTTGTATTTTATTCCCGTTGTATGCCCATTCATCCTTGAGTGCATTTAACAAATTGACAGCTGAAAACTTCAGGTTAGGGTGACACTGTTGTGGTATTGCTCCCCTGTATTGTCCCATTAGCTGCACTTATTAAAATATTGCCAAATATGACATAAAGAAACAGGGAAAACTGAAGAGGGGTATTTTGGAGTGTATGCTGCCTTCCGCAGAAACAAGACCGATCTCAGCAATAGGGCAGAGATCCTTTTTGGCAGCCACATTTTTTCTTGGTTAATCAGAGCACTGGAACCAGTCTATATAAATGTCACATATGCAAAACACAAGCAAGCCTGTTTTATTTTAGAGCCCATGGTCTTAAAGAAATTACATAACATTTTATGTGTTTTTTCTAACTCTGCAAGTATAGCAAAGTTCAATTTAACAGTGATGGTGAATCACGAGTAGTAAAATGAGCTGACCTGCTAGTTATTTGAGGATTCTCAGTCTGTTTTGACAGGGTATGGGAGATCTTGTACATTTTATTTCATTGTTTCAGTGAATTGTAGTTATCAAATGGGTGAACTCCTCCGGGGCTCACCTTCTCTGTGCTCTTGGAAATCTAATTAATGTAATGACAAAAAAAAAAAAAAGTACTTAAAATAGCCATATTTTGTATTTGGCTCATTCATACATAGTTTACTTCTCCTTTTTTTTTTTTTTTTTTTTTTTTTTGCTTTTTTTTTGTCTCTTAGAAAAAAATGCTGAAAGGACAAGGAGCATTTGATGGGGAAGGTAAGCATTTAATTTTCAAAACTTTTATTGCTGTTTCAATGTGGAATGCCAATTATAAGTTGAAATCCAACTACAGTAACAAAAATGCTTAAGATGAGAAATATGTTCAACTTCTTCCCAAATTATACAGTCCAAAGCTTCTCATTAAGCTAAATGTTTACCTAGTAATGCTAATGGTGAATATAGTTAATGGCATTTTTTATAGGCTGATAACTTTTTCAGTCAATGTCCTGGGATTTTTAATTCTTCTCTACCTTGGCTCCATCCCCATGTCCCTCAGGAAACAGAGAAAGAGTAAGACCAAGCTCTAGCTTTTTAGTTAAAAATTCTGATTTTGGCATTTAGATTTGAAGTCATATTTCTTTAGGTCACATTTCCTTTGACTTAGTATTCTGCCCATATTTCCACATTTTATTATCATTTCTGATTTCCTGTTTCCTTATTAAGTTTCAACTTTGGGGGGAATCTAACTCTCCTGACTGACAAAAACGTACTCTCAAGACTTTGCAACCCATGTAGTATTTTTATTAAAGATCTCAAAAACAAAAGCAGCTTCAACCAGGTGTTCAAACCCTAATCAGATTAATGGACTTTCTGTAAATAGATGGGTCAAGTGTCAGCCAACTGGAAGAGCATGAAGGGAGCAGTCCCAGCTGTAGCACTTGTTGGGCTGGAGGGTCATGGTGGTAGTGAGGGTAGTTACTTTTTGTCATGTTTTGAAGTGTGAAGATTTTCCAACCTTCGAAGAATAATGAGGAAGGGGATGCCCCTCTATAAGTCAAGCAAATGTGCAACCACCCAGAGTTATAAAATACGTAGCCTTAGGTGATTATCAAATAATTCCCTGTATAATTTTTATAAAGATGAGTTTCCCATTGGAACATTTAAAAATGACTCATCTATAAAAATTCATTCACCGCACCAATCTTAGGAAATCCCGATATAGTATTTAGCTGGTTGGAATAAGTTCCTCTCCCTAATTTTATAATTGAAGAAACCAGAAGATCTGGGAGGTTTGGCACCTTGTCTACTGTCACACCTAGTTACACAGCCAATAGTAGGACACAGATCTAGTTCATAGTCCCATTTGCTGCTTCTTATAGCACTCTATGAAGTGAACAGCATCTACCTAATATTTACCTAAGGAGATGCTTTACATTCCCTGGAATTTGGTATTTATTTTGTGACCTTTGCCTAAGAGAGTTTAACATTTTAAGATTTTTTTTAAAGTCAGAGACTAGACTTCATTGTAACTAGTTTTACGTTATTTCCTTTTATAAGAAGTTGTTTCTATGTATCCTCTCATTTCTTCTCAAATATAATGACCTAGAAATTTTTTTCACACATATATATGTACATGAGGAATGCAGGATTCTTACAGTTAATGATTAACAAGAATGTAACTAGGGAAGCAGTGTGGCCAAATGGTGAGAATCTGTGATATTAGATAGAGCCAGGCAGACCTGCTCCTATTCATCAGTTGAGTGATACTGAGAAAAACCCTTTATATAACTGGGCCCTCACTGAGCCACCTCATGTGTGAAATGAGATTAATAATAATGTTGCCTATGTTGTGAACATGAGAAATCTATCAGCAATGTTATGCATATACTTTGTGCCAACTACTTAGTGCTTTAAAGACTAGGGGAGACTCAGTCTTTACCCTCGTAATCTACTTTACATAGCATGACAATCAGAGACCAGTAAAATCTTGCATAGTGTTACTTTAGTCATAGTGCATACAGAATAATCTATAGTTGATGAGAAAAGGGGCAGATGCTTGCTTGTTTTGGTAGATGGGAAAGGCAATTCAAACTCAAAATGCCCCAAACCAAACTCATAATCTTCCCCACTAAACCTAA